GGTCATGTGATATATCATAAAAAATGTCTCTAATAGGCCTTTAAAATAAGCCATCACTCACATTTCTACTTTTAAGTTTACGAGATATCGCTATTTTTGTAAGTATTTGCAAGACCCTAATTTATCGGAATTTTTTGATTTTCAAAAATCAATAAAACAAAAACCACCTTTCGAAAAAAATCTTATATGGGATTTTTGAGTTTTTTAGTGAGGTAAACAAATTTACCAAAAATTATCAAAATCGGAGATGGTGGGGAAAGAACCTTTGGTTGATTTGATATGGACTGACCCATACTTTACAAATTATCTCTAAAACAAATCATTTTATCAAAATTTTATAAGAGACAAATTTTATTTAACAATAAATGATTACATGAAAAAATACCGTTTGGAAGTCATTGGCGCACATACTAAAAAATAGGGAGAGTCAGTGAGTACTGGACCACCCTATTTTGATTATTTGACAATTGTTTTTTGTTTTGTTGGTCTCAAAAAATGTAACTATTTATGTTGAAGTAGTATACCGAATTTGAACTTAATATCTTATCAATTACTCGAATTATTAAAAAAAATCAGTTTTAAATTTCAAACTTTGTCGCCCTGTATATCGAACATGAAGCTCTAAATTGAAAAATGGTATTATGAAAGTCTTATTGTTTTAACTCAAGGAATATATGGTTAACGGATTGACCTCCTTTTTCCAGACACCCTGTATATAGCATAGTAAAAACAAAGCGTTGCCAATTTTTAAACATTGTGCGTAATAACTTAAAAATTGCTGTAAATATAAGGAGCGTCCGCACCAAATATGTCTACCCCCGGTAAAAATTCAAGTAAGCATTGTTGTAGTGGGGGGTCATTCGCGTCTGTAACCACCTTGAAAGTGGTCGAAGACCAATATTTTCTATTTAAAATGGGACCTAAAAACAAGAGGTTTGATCAAAACCAAAAGTGTCCAGCCTGCTGGTCCAGTCGGAGGCAAACATGTCCAACCAACTAATCACAGCTCTCCATCCACTCACGTGTCATTAAGATGGCACACTCAAAACAGAAAAAACTTTGTAGTATAGTGTTTTAAGTGATTTTCAACCGGCCTCGGTGGTGTACTAATGAGCGCTCCTGGATCATCCCCAACCAAACTTTTAACATCCCCTTCAAGTTCAACTGTAGTACTAAACCCATGGTGCTACAGGTCTTCACCCTTTCACTTTTTTGTTTACTACTTTTTCAAATTTCTTAAGGGGTTTTTTTTTATTTTCTTTTTCCCCTTAAAATATTCTTTAAGATTTCTTTCATTTTATTCAACATTCCTTTTACTTTCAACTTTTAAGATTTTATTCTGCTACCCAGATTAAGCTGGCCTCACATTCGCCCTGCGAAAAAAGGCCAGAACTGCTCCATGACTATTAAAAGAAGCCCTGTGTAAGGGACTAAAACCGTCGGGATACTCCCTGCTTAAAATACGCCATAGAGACCTATATAAAATAATCTATCGGGCGCTACGCAATATGTGCATTTGTTCATGTTTTTTTCCAGATACGGCTGATAGAAAATGTATAGGAAATTAGAAGAACGAAGAAAGGATATATAGGGATATCCCTATAGAACAACCATAAAACATTTGACAATAGCCATTTACATAATGGGAGGAAAATAGTGCTTTTCCTCTCGCGAATAGTTTGAATGTTAATTATAAATTTGAAATTCTTCCTACGTTTTGAAAATGAGTTCTAGCGAAGAAGACCTGCCGCAAGATTTTGCTAAAGAGGCAAGAATAGTTGCAAATAAATTCCTTCCTTAAAAATCGAAAGAGCGATAAGAAAATGAATACCTAGTTTGTTAAAAGAATGGTTGGACAAGCGCGGAGGAAATCTTTTTCCTACAAAATCAAATAGGGCTAGACAAGGTACAAAACTCTTGCTAATGTAAAATTGTTAAAAAAAAGGGGGAGGAAAATTTTTTTCCTCCCGGGGAGGAAATGTTGCATTTTCCTCCCTCGCTCGGGGGTGGAAAATTAAGTTTTCTAGTAAAGTAGTAAAACATTTTTTATTAAAACCTATGGGGAAAAACTAATTTCTACATTTATATGTATTTTCCTCATTGAAACCAATAGGAAATAAATCAAGGGTGGATATCCCTATAGAACAAACATAAATCCCAACTATGGGTCCTATACATACCGATACACCCTATAGAAACACCATACATTCCGATACAAATATCTATCGGTTTGAACAGGGTCTCTATGGGGTATTTTAGGCAGGGCTGCGCTGCTACCACGCGCCTTTTTACAGTCAACCCCATCACCACATTGCGGCCATATAAAAACACTCTTGTTTTATTCTTTTTTTGCCTTTTTTTACTTATTTCGACTTCTTGTTTGACAAACTTGACTGTTTGAGTTTTTCCTTAAATTTTTTAATTTTTTTGTCTCTTTTTTTTTACTTTTATGGTTTTTTTATTTTATTTATTTACTTACTTATTTTGATTTTCCGTTTGACTTTTTTTACTTCTTTTGTCGTTATTAGCTAAACGCATAATAAAAAGTTTTTCCTATTGCAACATGAACTGTGGACACACTAGAAAAAAATCCAGACATGGGGGCTAAACTAAATTCAGATTCAGTTTCAGTGAGTAAAAATACATGGGAATAACATGGTCTTATTCATGTTGCACCACTTTTTTTGGGCCTGTGTAATTAAACCAAAACATATTTATTCTCAAAATAAATTAATCTTGCATACCTATAATTAATTTTTATTTCATAAATTTGTTGTTCCTTTGTTAAAAAGTGTTGGGTTGGGTTGGTTTGTTTTAGTTTTATCGTAACATAAAAAAATCTTAAAATTATGGCGTCACTCGGTACCGAACTTAAGTCCCACCTCGGGATAGGAGCCACAGCGTTTTAAAAAAATATGAATTTATTAAAAAATACATATAAACATAAAAAATAAAACACAATTTTTTAAAACACACATTTATTTAGTTTTTTAGGTATACTTATGACAACATTTCTGAAAAATTAGGCTTATATTGTCGTTGCAGCAATAATTTGTTTTAAAATTTTCATATGGTTGGTATATGATTTTTACCAAAATAATTAAAAATTGCTAGACATTTCTGTTCGGCGTTTTTATTGTTTCTAGCCCAGTGTAAAACAATTTTAAGTGTTGTCTACCCACTAAGAGCAAATCCACAAAAATACGTTTCAAATATTAAAAAGTAGGTGTTTTTATCATTGAAAAGGAGAAAAAAGGAGAACAAACCTGGTCAAAGGAGGATTGTGGATTTTGGGTATACTGATATCTCAGTTAGTAGACATTGGACCCACGCCAAACTTGTATGAGTGTTTAATTAAATTAAATAGACAAGTTCTGCGCAAGCATAATTTAAATTAAGGGTTTCGAAAAAAAAATAGTATTTTAGCGCGCCTCACCAGCCCCGTGCCGCCCCTAAATAAGATTATTCAAATTAGTGGTGCAATTAATTCAACTAAAGTTAATCAACAAATTTCAAAATTTATTTTAAAAATCCAGATTTTATACCATTTTTAATATTTTAAATTTTAGTTAAAAGAATAATAAAAATTAAAAATGATATGGCGCGCAGAAAAATAACTTCTTTCGCTTACTTTTCAATTTCAATTCTGCTTGCGCAGAACTTGTCTATTTATTGTCATTATAAACTCATATAAGTTTTGTGTGGGTCCCATGTCTACTAACTGAGATATTGGTATACCCAAAATCCACAATCCGCCACTGCTATTGCAAGAATTTAAGGTACTTTATTTAAAAACAGTTTTTTTGCTGTCCTAAAAAATCTAATCAATTATTTTAAGATTTTATCATTTTATAAGTTAAAAAATGTTTTGCTACAGCGTTTTATGACAGTGATTCTTTTTTGTTACTTAAGTTGCTAATGACACATTTATAAGCACCAATGTTTAAACTTTTTGTTATTTATTTATTTGGTAAGAAACGCTGTAAGAAAAAGACTCTCTTTTTACAAATTATTGCATTAATAGCTATAATGTTCTTAAAATATTTGCGACACTAATTTTGGATAATTTAAAATTTATTTTTTAAGAAAATTAATGTTTAAGGCCATTTATTCCCTAGAACGTGCATATACTTACATGTACATATACTATAGTTATTTTACTATTGTCATTTTTAAAAATCTTCTAAAATATTTAAGAATACGAGTCAAATTACAGTGTAGGTAAATTTTTAACTCTTCAAATATGACAGATTCCAAATCCGTGCTCGGTTTACCTGTATCAGGTCTAAAAAAGCTGTATACTGGTATATTACAATTTCTAAAATAATATATTTCACCTCTTGTGCCAAAATTCCTATGCTTTTTATTTCCCCTAATAAAACATCCTTAATTATACTCAATAAAAAAAAGCAAAAAACATTTTGAATTTCCTAAATTATCTAAGAAAAACCCTCAGGGACACGTGTTCCTTTTGATTAATTAACTTCAAATTTTGCAAATATTTGTTTTTTTTTTAAATTTGAAACTGATCAGTTTCATCGATGTGTGGGTCCAGTCAAATTGTTTTTTTAAATTTATGCAGGGTTTCTTTGAATTTTGACCTGATACACAGCTAAACCAAGCACGGATTTGTAATCTAAGACCAAAAATTCAGTTTTGGTGTCCGAGCGTTTAGCTGTGATATTTTCACCTCCCTACAGTTTTATCAACAAGTATTTCTTGAATTATTTATTTTTTTTTTCTTTATTTAATAATATTGTTATGGTAAGAAAAAGTTAATTAATTACATTTTGTTATTTTAGATAAATATTAATTGAACTAAAGCATTAGTTCAATTTTTAGTCCACAATGACAAACAATTGTGCGTGTTAATTCTTAATTAATAACGAGTCACAATAAATCGTCATTTTATCATTATTACATGACAAAGAATAAAACAAGAAAAGGTGTCTTAAGAGGTCAATGCAAAAGTGGTTTTAATATTGATTTTTCTTATCGAGGAAATCGCTAGCATTTGCATGTAGCACTTTATCAGTATCATCTAAATTAAAATGCTTTGGACATTTTATAAAAAGCCAAGAAGAAGTGAGGACGTACAATTTTATTACGATGTATTTCAACTCGGAAAACGACATAACTTACGTACACAGTTTACTAAAATTTTCTGGATTCCTGTGCATATCGCCACCGGTGAAGTACAAAAACCCCAAAGATGTGAAGAGATACAAGTGGTCGGCCTTTTTGTACATCATCATGTTACTTACCGGAACCACAATCACAATGTATGGAATTATAAAATATTTGGTACCCAACGTGAAAAAATCCAGTGCAGTTCTTAGTTTGATAACCACTTTGACGCTGTGCTTGCTAAACATAATAACAATAACGGTTTCTTTGATGAATATAAACACATGGAATACTTTTATAAGTTTTGTTCAATACATCGACAAGAAACTGAACAAATATTCGGGGAGCTGTAAAAGCAACTACACCATATTGTATGGGGAAATGTCCATAATACACGTTGTTTTAATTTCTATGTTTGGATATGATGCGTACATAATTTATATCAACTACGGATGGAACGTTTTTAAGTACTACATCTTTAAATACGTCCACTTTTATTATTGCTTCGTCAGTATAATAGTCATACTGCATTTTGCTTCAGCTCTAAGAAGCAGATTCAAAAGAATAAACAATTTGTTGATAAAAACCAACGATTTGCACAACATAATTAATTATTTTATACCAAATGGGGTGCCGCATAGAATTGACAACTTGAAAAGCATCAATGAAGTTACCGAGTTTTATTTACTGCTTACTGAATTGGTGGATATGTTCAACAAAATTTTTGGGTGGCAAATATTCTTTATGACAGAAACCATCATAATACTGCTGTTGGAGTGTTTAAATAATTTAATGCTCAGCATTGACTCATCTCCTGCAACAGCTGGCCATAAATTGAACACCATAGTTTTTATGGCATCGTATTCTATTATATTAATTGTAAGTAAAATAACATACTTCCACACATATACCGCTTATTCGCTAATTTTGTATAGAAGACATTGCTTCATTTTTTGAGGAGAAATTTTTCGATTTGCCGTATCATTTTACCTTATGCGCATAGTCAGTTCATAAATGGGGGATTTAAAATATATACCACAGACATATTAATATGTCCACGTATGATACGAATTGTCAACTAAATAAAATTTAGGATATATCAAATTTTTCTAAATCATTTGTTTACAACGCTGCAGTGCCTAGGTTAAGCTTACATACATTTCTGTGGTTTGGCTTTATAAAAAGGAAAAAGTGTCAAAATGTGCATATTATGTAAAAGCCACTAAAAATCTCGTAAACACAATGGAAAAAACAATGCCAAAACAATTACAAGTAAAACCAGGGCCGGATTTACGAATTTGCCGCCCATGGGCCCAACGCATCATTACCCCGACTAACGAATGACTCAGCGAATAAGCTAGAGTCGCGCCCCACTCGCCTCGTGTACATCGACTGCCGCCCTTCTACGCAGTGACGCACTACGCAGAATAATAGTGTTGTCTGATATAAAATTATCTAATGTATTAAAAAACTTCTCTTCCAACTTTTTATAGTTTTAATTAGTGTATAAATCTGAGTGAAAACAAAAATTCTGCATAAAACGCTCTTGATTTTTTAGCAAAATTTTAACTGGCCTTCAAAATTTGCCGCCCCTAAAAATTTGCCGCCCTGGGCCCGGGCCCATGTGGCCCATGCCTAAATCCGGCCCTGAGTACAACATAAAACAAACAGTCAGAGTTTCGAAAAGCATTTCCAGACGCAAAAAACGACTTGTAAACAATTACAAAATACCAAAAACCTAATTATCTGGGTTTTATTTTGTTTATTTTTTTGCCATTTTAACTATGTTACTTTCTTTAAAAATAAATTGTTTGAAAACAATCTAAAAATCAATTTCATTATTTATTTAATTGTAATTTTGTACTTTTTTAATGTTGGTGCTTCCTAAAAATTTTTTATAAAACAAATAATTTAAGATTGCCTAAAAGATATTTAGGTAGCACCAAATTAGAAAAAGTACAAAATTACGTTTCAAAACACACTAATTATGCATTAAATGCAAATTATCACTGGTATTTTGTTTTTATGCCATTTTCAATAAAATAACAATAATAGTAATAATTGAATGAACTAAAAAAGACCTTACTATGGACATACATGAATTCTTTTTTTTTTGTTTAAAAGTACCATATTTTATCTTCATTTCCTCAAAATATTAGAATTGCTCATTAATTATAATAATTATTAATGATTTTATAAAATTATTGCGTTTTAAAGCAAAAATCCCCTATATGAAAAACTGTAAGCAATAATCGAACGAAGTAAAAAAGGCCTTAGGATACAAATACACGATTTCTTTTTTTTTTAAGTAACTTATATTCTCAAAAAATTTTCTAGATTACTAGTAATTTTAAAAAATTAATACAAGTCAAAAATCCTCTATCTGGAAAACTTCTCGTTGTTACAGGCAATAGAAGGAAATAAGTTAGCACATTCAAATTTGGCATACATTTTTTTAATATTTTTTAAAAACTAATGAGGGGGCGGCACGATTAAAATTTCGACATTGGTCAAATAAGAACCACCCTAAGGTACATACAGTTGGCAGGATAAGGAAAACTACTGTAGTATTCATTTTAGGAAAAAAGTAATTCTTAAAAAGTTGTGCATGGTCTAAAACCAAAAATTCAACCATCATATAAAAAAAATTATCAGTCGTAAAAATATGATTTTTGCTCAAGAGTAAAGTACCTTTATTTTTGACAATATCAAAAATTATTGAAAAGAAAAGATGTTTAAAATAAAATATAGGTAACTTTAAATAACTCTAATATTCACTCATTGCAGTCTAAGACCATTATTTAATCGTAATTATAACATTTTTTCTAATTTCTGATGGGGATTGCCGCTATAGGGGCTCTCAAGACCAAAATATTAAAAATCCCTTATATTTTTTTTCATAGCATGATATTCTTTAAAGACTCGAAATCTCCGAGGTATTTTTTTTAATCAGTTTATATTTTATGGTAAATTCATACATAAAATTTTAGATATTTTTTTATTGGACTGAGAAAGACTACTTAAGATTTGGGGGCCCTTCAGGACCGGGGGCCCGGGGCGGACCGCTCCCCCCCTTAGTCCGCCACTGCGTATTCGACTAATAAAATTTTATATCTGATGGCAAGATTTTAAGTTTTAGACCATGCACCACTTTTTATAAAGAATTACTTTTTTCCCAATATTTTTCCATATGCCGCAAACTTACGTAGACACACTGTATACCTACTATGCTCCACGCATTAAAGTCCCACCACGTGACTTTGATATAAATAATAAAGGTTAAGTTTCTGTCAGTGTCAAGCCAGTTTCATCCTACTTTCTGAAAATAATGCCAATATATGTATTTTTTGTGCATAAAGGTCCTAATTTAAAACACAAAAAATACATGAATTATTTTTAGAAAATAAAACGAAACTAGTTTAACACTGACAGAAAATCATACTAAATTATTTGTATCCAAGTCACGTGGTGGGACTTTTGGGTGTGGACCATACACATATAATCAATTCACGTACGGTAGCCCAAACTAGAGACCCTTAAAAAACGGTCTATTTGGTCCACACTTTTAAGTTAAAAAATTAACAATTTATCATCGCCCATCCTCAGCCCACCGTTTAAAGTTGAAATGAGTTTTAAATAAACGTTATAAATTGCTTAAACTATAAATATATAAATTTTAACACCAACATGAATCCTTTTTTGACCACTTTAAATAAATTGACTTTTATTTTAGATATTTCATGGAAGAATCGTCATTTGCTGCGAAGGCGTCAACGCTGAATCAAAAAACACATTAAATACATGTTATAATTTACAGCAAACTGTAAGCCCAACATCTGAAGAAAGAAGAGAGCTAATCATTTTAAGTGATGTAGTTAATTTACTTAAACCATCTACCAATGCGGCTGGATTTTACTTCATAAACAGAAGTTTACTAAGCAGAGTTTTTGCTTATATATTTTCCTATTTGATAGTTTTAATACAATTCAACAAACAATTGTAAAACATATTGAACAATAAAGTCAAATATAATTGTGGTGGTTTTATTGCAATTGTAGGTTAATAATTATTATTATTATAATAGTAGTATTATTATAATAGTAGTATTAATACAAATTATTAATTATACATGTTTTTAGTGCATATTGATCCGTAAAGTAAATATTAATTAGGAAGACAGTTCTAATACATTTGACAAGATTAATGAATGTTATTCAATAACAGTTTTTGTCAATAGCTTTTAACAAATTTATTTGCCTACTTATATACAAATTATAAAAAATGTTATTATTTAAATTTACACTATCTTAAAAATAAAAATTATAACAAAAAGTTGATTAAGCATTCTTCCTTGAATAAGAATGTATGTTAATAAAGATTAGATCCATTTTCAGACACGCAACTTTTTACCTCAATTCAAATGCTGTTATACTTTCAGTGTTTACCTTCTTGTGCCATAAAACAGTTTAATAAAATGAAAAATAAAATTTCGTACCTATTTAGGAAGATATTCAAGTGTTTTGGGTTGTTTATACCTTTTGGAACTGACGCTTTTACAAAGGAAGACAGTGTTAATGTTTTTCAAAAAAGTTATGCCGTGATTTTAGCGGTGGTGGTTTTAATATTGTATGTGGCTTTGATGGTGCACGGAGCTATTTACCGATTTAAATTGACTAGAAGTTCAAATGTGCTTTTGACAGTTTTAGTAAAAACAGCATTAACAATTATGGCGTGTGTGGCGATTTTGGGGAACGCGTTCTGGAACAGAAACTATTGGAATCAGTATTTAAAGTTGTTAAAATTGTTGTATGGTAAACTGGGTAAAAGTATAGACCGGCATAGGTTTTATTTTTCCTTAGAGTTTATTTTGGGGCATGTAGTATTTTTCCTTGTGGTAGCTTTGGATCAATATATGTGGTATGACGACGACAACAGAAATAATATTAACCTAGTTCCTATTTTTATCAAGAATCTCCTATTTTACTATGCCTTTATGATGACAGTTATTATTTATAATACAGCCCTCATCCTCAAGTACCAATTCCATCTAACAAGATTGCACATTGCTAAAGCTTTGAATATAAAAGTTGAAAATGATTCTTACGTATTTAAACTCTACGAAGAGATTGCAATTTTACCGAAACCTGTATTAAACAATAAAACAGTTGATGTACTCTTGGATACATCAAAAATTGTTACAGGTTTATTTGAACTGGTCGTCATATTTAATAATTTGTTTGGACATGTTATCCTGGTTATAACTTTCAGTACAGTTCTGCAAACTTTGAAATGTTTAAACGAACTTTTGATATTGGGAGAAATGGGAGAATTGGATGTCGAAATCGTATCCAGCTGCATTCTTGAAGCTGTTGTGTTTGTGGTAAGAATTTAAAATGTAGTTAGTATACCTATAGGCCTATAAGCTCCAATCAGAACCCAGTATTGTTTGTAAAACAAATTTATTATCGTAAATAAAATTATTCAACCTTTTTTTAAATATTTCTAAAAATTGTTTAAATGATTGCGAAATCGCCAAAAATGCCTCACACTTTTATTAAAAATAAATATAAAACCTTGCACGACGACGTTTCGGTACAATCTCATGTACCATGGTACATGAGATTGTACCGAAACGTCGTCAGACATACGGTTATTTTAAGAACCAAAAACCGACAACACGGAGCAGATCCCGGAAAACCACCAATACATATAACGCCCCTGGAAACCTAAAACAATATATATATATATCGACGGATTTAAGGGGAAAACGGCACAAGCGCAAACTTTTTTAAAAATTTGATACAGGTCGATAGAGCTCTAGCTAGAGAATTTAATTCTCTATCAACCTGTACTAACAATTTTTCGAAAAATTTGGCGCTTGTGCCATTTTGCATTTAACCCGTCGTTATATATGCATTTCCTTTTGAAATATACAACTTTTTTGACTCATTCATGTGCGCTGAAAATGCGTATGCATATGAGACGCATATGTAATCGCATCTGTATAGTAATCTGCGCGCACGCGTGCCGTTTAAAGACGCACGCGTGAACTCACAGTGCGCGCATCGTGACTACATTTTGCTATCTGGGTAATTTTTAACGCGGATGTTATAACCGTTTAGCGGAAATAATTCTATAACTTTTTATAATTATTATTTTTTTCTTTTTAAGAAAATTACTTAACCATTAGTTAACTACAGTTAATTCTTAAATATGCATATAAAACTTTAAATTATAAATACAAATTAAATTAGTTTTAATAGTTTTATAACTAAAATATTTAAAAAATTAGATCTTATTATATTTTAACAATTACATTGTACTTACAATTACAATTACACGTAAAATTCGTATGTATATTTTGTTAATTAAATACTTTATATTAACCAAAGATCATTAGTAGTTTAACTATGGGTCACAATTAAACTAAAAAAAAATACAATCACAAAGTGTTTCCCTTAAAAAAACGTTTTTTAGCAAAAATTGGACAATTATCAAAATTCAAAATAAAAGTCATTTTGTTGGCCACCATGTGGCAAAATTGCTGTCAATTATTGTTATTATGTTTAAACAATTTTTAAAGGACAATAAAAATAGATTTTTGTTGTTTAATACTTCCACTTTTTTAGAATGCCCCTTGTTTTTGCTATTTATATTTCATATAAAATTTAAAAAAAAGTTCATTACAATTTCCTACATTTATTACCAAAAGGCTTTAATAAGAACAAACAAATTTCTATTTTTGCTTTTTTCCCACAAAAATAAATAAGAAAAGACTTAATTTTAATATGTTGTAATGTGTCCTAGGTATATAACATTTCTAATAGAAATATAAAAAAATATAAACAATATAAGGTATACAATGTATATTATACAAATATTTATAAAATATGTTACAAATGTCTTGCACCAAAATTTATTTAATTAATTTAAAAGCTACTGCAAAAATTCAAATATAATTAAAACATGTTCATTTATTTATTCATAGGGATGGAGTTCATTTATTATATCAGCATGCAGCCTAATAAAAAAGGAATGTTTTTTAATTGTAAGTCTCATCTGTAAACTACAACAAATGCTGCCACCTTTTTCGCAAGAAAGAACCGAACTTATACATTTATCCCATCAAATAGCTAACTACAACATGACAATTTCTGCAGCTGGATTTTTTGAAGTCGATTTGTCTTTAATATTTTCTATATTTTCCTGTGTTGGGACTTATATTGTGGTATTGATACAATTTAGCAACATCAATTTTTAATTGTCAACAAATTAAATACCTGTGTATTTTAATTAAGTAAATCCTTACTAAATGCTTGTATATTGTACAGGGTGATCCCCTATAATGTCGCCCCCCTTTAACTTTTTTATTTTAAGTGTCCGAAAAAATTTAAAAGTGTGGTTATGTAGGTCAAAAAAAATACTTTTTTTCTACATATAAAAAAAATTAAAAATTGATCAATATACAGGGAAAAACAAAAAGTTTATTTTTTTTCAATGGATCACCCTATATATGAATTTATTTTTTGATTCCTTGTAAAATTCTGAGCATAATTCATATAACAAACCATATCCTAAATTCAACTGTTTCTGAAATATTCGGATTCGAAATGTTATCATTAATTGTTTTTTTAAACTGTTAAAAATCAAGAAGCCTCACTATACCAAAATTTTTATGGAAAATAAATTATTATAGTGACATTATGTCAATATTTCTTGTTAAATAAGTAAAAATGGCCTACTCAGAGTCTGAGTCTCAGACAGAGAAAGACAAACTATTTCAACTTAAGTATATTATCTTAAAAATAATTTAAATATTTCAGAAACGGTTGAATTTAGGTATATGATATGTTATATGAAATATGCTTAGAATTTTACAAGGAATTGAAAAATAAATACATATAGGGTGATCCATTGAAAAAAAATAAACTTTTTGTTTTTCACTGTATACTGATCAATTTTCCAATTTTCTTTATACGTAGAAAAAAAGTATTTTTTAGTTCCTACATTAAAGTTAAAGGGGGGCGACATTATAGGGGATCACCCTGTACATTTGGTGCGCATTTATTTAATTCTAATGTATAGTTGGAAAGTATTATTAGGGTATTTTTGTACATTTGTAAATAAAATATGTATTTTATTTAATAAATTAATAAATAAAATTATTTAAATTAATTTTAATTGCATACCTTCAACCATGTCAAACTTACATTTATGTCCCCGAAGTCCCTTTTTTGTTGCAAATTTATTCTCACATTTATGACATTCGTGATATGTTCGTTCACCATGAGTTATCATATGCGATTTAAAATATTCTATCCTCGAAAAGGATTTGGAACACAAATTACAATCGTAAGGCTTCACACCTGTATGCTTTCTTTCATGCACTTTTAACTTATTTGGTTCCACAAATTTTGAATCACAGTGTTGACATTTAAGCTTCTTTTCCGTGTGGATTCTACGTAAATGATCGTTGAGATTTTTCCAGCTCTTAAATATTTTGTGGCAGATGTTGCATGTGTGCGTTTCATCTGCGTGCATGGTCTTGTGGGCGGATAAGGCTGCCGAATTTTTACCGGAGTATTCACACAATTCGCATTTGTACCGTCTATCGTCGCTGTGAGTTGTTAAGTGGACGGTGAGAAGTTTCTTGTATGAAAATTGTAGGCCGCAAAAATCGCAGATGAGGTTTTTTTTTCTGTGTGAGCTATTAAAATGATCCTTTAGTAGTTCTTGATTAATAAATAGTTTGGAGCATACTGAACATCTAAAACAAAGTAATTATTTACGTTCTATACGCTAAAGAAGTATCGGGTTTTCGCAACGCGCGCCATGGACTTCGATAGCATTGCGTGAATTTAAGAATTGTCAACAATGCATTTAAAGCACAGATTATAAATCATTTTTAAATAAAAAGGTAGTTTTTTCACAAAAGAGGAAGGCAGAAGTCTTACTCGAAAAATTTTGTTTAATTGCACAGCTAAATCGCCCACGTTATTTGTGTTTTACGTTGCAAGGAAAAAATTAGAAAACTTTTTTAGTACTCGATTTCGATTGATTATTCCTAATATCATTGATTAAGAATCTCCTTACATTTTCATGTTTTGCCAAAGGATCCAATTCGGTAAGTAAATTTGTTGGTGCAGAATTAACTAATGATAACTTTTAGTTTGGACATTTTTTAGTAAAAAATAATTTTTGCACAAACATAACCTTAAAATCAACCATTTTTATATTTGAGTTCTCTAAAAAAACGCCGACAACTGCATTTTAAACATCAAAATAAAACTACGAATTCATGGCAACATAATATTATATATAATACATAATAATACTAAATGCTGTTTAAATTAAGACGACTTACCCTGATAGCACAGTTTATTCTAAGAATGTTTTTTAAACCTTCCAGTGAGAATATTCTTAGGATCATGATATAGTTCTTCTAAAGAACATGCTTAAAAGAAATATAGCATAATCATAAGAATATTCTCACTGGCCTATAGGCAGGTTCTTAGAAGGTGCAAAGTTTAGTGGTAAAAATTAATCCACTCTAAACATATGCTTAGAATGTTGAGAAAGTAATTGCTATAGAAAGTTCATTTAGGAATATTCCTGGAACATTCTGTTAAGCATATTCAGTTCAGTTAGGTACCTATATAATAGTAAAATATACCATATCTACGTATAAATTTATACCTTAAGGTACCTATACTTAGTATTAAATACTAAGTAAAAAACACAACCCAAAATATTTTTTTATAGTTATTTGTCAAATTAAAACAATATTCAATAACAAAAATACTTTTACTATAGGTATTTTATTTTATGATAAAAATAAATATTTATTAATTGTATACCGATTTTTTATTTCTGAATTAACATTTTTATGTATAATAATCCTAACTATCTTCAACTTCAATCTAATCTGACTTATCCCACAAAATTTTCCAATTTTACTTTTTATGAAATAATGTCATACAACTTATGGTTTAGAGGTCAAATTGTTTATTTAATATTTTTAAATAAATATATATTAATATGTCGCAAAATTTTTTAAGGGGACGACAAATACATTTCACTGTCATATTATGACAGTGAGACGTATTTGTCGCCTCCTGAAGAATTTTACGAATGTAGAATCCAACATATTAGAACGTGGGTATCTGACATATTTGAAAATATTCTCAAAAGCTAGAAGCTCCATAAGAAACCTTCTAAGAACATTCCAAAAACGTATTCTTAAAATGTTCTTAGAATGCTTTTTAGGAAGGTTTTAAGAAGCCTCTAAGAATCTAATTGCATCATTAAAAGGGTATCTATTGAATGTTTTAAAAGTCCCTAAGAACATTCTTAGCAATAAGGGAAGATTCTAAGAATATTCCATTATTCCGGGTAATATATTCTTAGAAGATTCTTAGAATCAAGTTTTGCTATCAGGGTAGTTGTTTGACGATTTTTACTGAATTGAAATGTTTACACTTTTCACGTTAATCACTACTAAAATGTGTATTTATTGTATCTAATAGGTACAATTTATATTTACGAGTCACGTTTTTTTTTTCGATATTTTTTTAACATTTTTCGGCTTTATTCTTATAAACACTCGTTTGTAACATAAGCGTCTGACAGCTGATTATATAAGTCGTACTTTTTTTACGATGATAACAGCCGAGTGGTGGCGCTACTAGCGATACTTCTTTAGTGTATGATCCACACCCAAAATCCCACTACGTGACTTAGATACAAATAACACTGTGCTACAAATTTGGGGTGATCAATTTTAAACCGGTTTTCATAGATTATTCCTTAAAAGTATACCTATTTAATAATAAAACCTCACTGGGTTTGATAAAGTTGGCTCGAATTTTTTTACGTCCTTGAGTTTTGGGTGATTTATTGTAAATTGATACGTCAAACTTACAAATAGTTTCTTTTGGCAAAGTAGTTTTTCATTCCGACTCTTTAAAGAGTCGGAACGAAAAACTATTGTGAAAAGGTTTTTCATCTTAAAATAACACTTGTTTAAAAAATCGAAAAAATTTCTGCCCACCATATCCCATTATAATTTTCCCATGTATTTTGACCCACTAAACACGAAACTTTTTTATGGAAGCGTTTTTGAGTAGGTATAGCTTGAAATCTAATTGATCGATTTTGCCAAACAAGCCCTTAAATTGAAGGTATTTGAGACCTCTAAAACTTTCTTCTACATACTTTTGATATCGGAAAAGTATTTAGATGTTTGATTTTTTTTCGTAAAGCTGGCATTTTCCAAAATCCATGGATAAATGGCAAGTTATGAATTTTTTAGTGGAAAGCCAAAATTCAGCTTTTTGACGATTTTTAGTTTTGTTTTCTCTTATTTTATAATAGGTATGTTTATTCTTTAATAAAAACCTAATTAAAGTGCATGATTGGAATTTTTTTGAGTTATTTAGGTACTTTTTTAACAGTCATCTTAGCATTTCACCTCGGAATCTAACGGAATAAGCTGAATTTTTGTACAAACCTTTATTTTAGCATTGCACATGTTGTCTCAAAAGTCACATATAAAAACGTGTGAGCGGCCTTAGATATTCAAGGTCAAAGGTCGCAAAAATCATTTTTTTAAGAATATCTCCTTTTCTCTGCCTCCTATCGTATTTGCATTTATTATACAAGTTGTAGAGAATAAAATTCTCTAGAAATTTTGTTTAAATAATTTTTTTATACGTCTAATCGTTTTTGAGATAGAGGGCGCAGAGTGTGGAGCGCTCAGCCATACGTACCTTTAGCGCTAGGTAAATCCTGAATCCCAATCATTATACCGTTTTTTTAATTAATTATAATTATTTATTAAATATTACTTAAATAACAATTTAATACCTTATATTTATTTTTATATATTTTTTTTAAAACAAATAGTCATTAAATATTACTTACTTTTGACATACAAATAATTAAATAATGAAGTGAATCATTCTAAATATATTCTAATGTAACAGTTATTCTAATTAATGATAAATGCATTTTAAGAAGAAAATACATTAAATGAATTTGCCTTGAATATGTCTCTGGTCATCCTTCATTAAAATTAAATTAAAATATAAGATATATATGAAGATAAAATATATTTGATTTAAAATAAAAATAAATATAAGTATAAGGTATTACATTTTTATTTTAGTAATATTTATTATATTATTAATTAAAAAAAAACGGTATAATAGATTGGGATTCACGATTTACCTTGCGCTAAAGGTACGTATGGCTGAACGCTCCACACTCTGCGCCCTATATCTCAAAAACGGTTCAACGTATAAAAAAAATTTTGAAAACAAAATTTGTAGTATAATAAATGCAAATACGATAGGAGGCAGAGAAAACGAGATATTCTTAAAAAACTGATTTTTGCGACCTTTGACCTTGAATATCTAAGGCCGCTCACAAGTTGGCATATGTGACTTTTGAGAAAACATTTGTAATGCTAAAATAAACGTTTTCACAAAAATTCAGCTTATTCCGTTAGATTTCGAGGTTGATCCCTTTTTTTGACTAAGATGACTGTACTATTATTCAAAATTTAAATTTGACATGACTCCGCAAACGTGAATTCTTTTGTTTCTCGTGTTGGCATAGTAACATTTTACTGTTATTTTTTGACGTTTGAACAAGGTATTTTTATCATTGTTTATTTAGTTAATAAAAAGTGTAAAATGGGTAAAAGATGTAGATAGTTCAATTGCGTAAATAACCCGGACAATCTGGGCGACCTAAGTGATGAGCACGGAGAACGTTTTCACCAGCAAATGAAGGCTATGGAAGCGGCGGTATCACCTCATACGAGAAACGGAGTACGAAACACAGAACATACGAAAGCAACAAAAAACAAAGGAGCCAGAATTTTTTTAAACCTATAGCATAGATTCTTATTACAACAAAATAAAACTTTCAATATCTTTAATGTCCAATATTTAATGTTTAATATTCAATATAGAATTTAATTCAATATTTAATAAAAAAAACAATGTTCAATATTAAATTTTATAAAAAATTCAATAAAATGAAAAAAAACGTAAACATTCTCGAAAAGTTGAATATTCCACTAAAAAAATCATACCTTTGCCCTTTATCCATGGATTTTTATCAACAGCAGCTTATTTTTTCCTTTATTGTGATTTTCGCGTTTAGTCAGCCAAATGCAAAATGGCTGTAAACTAGTGTAATTTAAATTATAATATAATATAAGTATGTGTTTTTGAATATTTGTCTTGTTTTTTCACCACCAGCGGCGCTGCTGTTTTGGTAGCGTTTCGGTAGAGCCCTGCACGGGCGAATTTGTCTATATAGTGTCATTATAAACTCATATAAATTCGATGTGGGTCCCATGTCTAATAACTGAGATATGGGTGTGCCCAAAATCCACCAGCCGGATTTGTAATCTACAGTTTAGGTGTCCAAGAATTTAGCTGTGGTATTTTCACCTCCCTAGAGTGTAATCATTAATTTTTAAGAAACATTTTTTTAAAAACACCGGTTGTAGAAATAATCCTGTGTGTAATTTGAGTGCAAAGTGACATTTTTGAAAAAATACATTTGTGCGCTGCCAAAGGTAAACAAAACAATTGTTGAAATTGATTTTAA